CGCGCGACGAACGGGGAGAAGAGCCGGCAACTTTTTCCCGAGGAAAAACGGGGCAAGGAAAATTTCCCGGAGGGATCCTGCCGAGGAAGCCAACGAAAGAACGGCCGAGAGGCCTTTTTTTTTAACGCGACAGAAGGAGCTGGGGGCAGGGCAACGCCAAAGAAGAAAGGCAAATGTTGATTTTGCTTGGGACATTTAACGACGCACGTGAATTTCCGTGTTCTCCGAAACTCTCGGATCCTGCCAGACTCCGCAAATCTTTCGAATCGATGAACACGGTCTCTTTGATAACAGGAACGCGTGGAAGGTATTGTAGTAGGTTAGTGGTCGCTACTAACGAGGTTATCCATTTAAAATATTATTGAAAGCCACCAAAGGCTCGCAGTTAACGCACGTTTCGCCTAATTAGGAGGTGAACCGAAGCGCTAAGAATCAATATGAGCGACAGCACCGCCACTGTATGCGGTCGAGGCTAATAAATCGCCCTAAATCCACCGATCGGCTTTCCCTGAATCCTCTCGTTTAAATCACTCGACTCTTCTCAACGGTTTTTTCCCAACCACCCCCACTTTATCATTCGCTCTGGTAAAAACCAGATGGTAGTCAATCTATCACCAAACTCCAGTCCATTGGTGGACTTCTGTTAGAGTCGCCGTATTCTTTACAATCAATTCAACCGAGTCTAAACACTTCGATCCTCCAATTTGACGTTGTCCAACGTCATTTTCAAATTCCACTCCACTGTATTTACTCGACACTCCCCCTTACTGTACAATGTACACACTTTATACCCATTCCCTCGATAAATATTAACAATTTTCAGGGATAATTCCGAATTGGTTCCAAGAGACCGCGACGCCACCTCCCAGACACGCGACTCGACGATTCACGCTCTTTCGCGGGCGATCGTTCGCTTTGTCCCTCTGTAAAGCTCGGTTCTTTCGCCCCTTTCGATGGCTTTTTTTTCAAGGCTGATTCCCCGGCCACACCTCTCCTTCCCCAGCTCTCCCTCTCTGTGTGCATCAGAGACGTTTTAAACGTGGACCAGACACTCGCGCACCTCGGTACTTTCGTTCGAGGCCTTTAATTTGGCACGTGTTCCACTCTTGGCTATTGTTGCCATGATTGTTGGGTGGATCGGTCTTCTACTCTTGCCACGGCTCCCTTCACCCTTTCCACGCTCTGTCTGGGTCCGCGGGTCTCCCTTTCCTCTTCCCTCGTCGGCCGTTTTTGCGGTAAACGCGGCGCATGGTGGTAATGCACGACTCTTGTGTGTATCCTGGCACACGGCACGTGTTCGATTTCTTCGTGGCCGTTTTTCGCGCCGCGGGCGACTTTCCGTCGGGACCAAGCGTTTCCGACAACTCGAACGCGTTCTCTCTTAAATCCTCGGAGCGATGCGTCGATCGACGGCCTTCGAGACGCTCGGGATCTCCGAGATGCTGCTTTTGCGCGAAGAACGTCCCTACAGCGGTACTTTCCTCGCGTTTTTCTTTTTTTTTTTTTTGCTTTTTTTGGAGGAATTGCTCGGGTTGAGTTTGGAATTGATTTGTGGGCTAAAAGATACGGTACGTTGAGACATCGTGTAGGGGACGTTCTTGAGCTGCAGGTAGGAAAGGTGACAGAGATGTGGGGAAGTCAGAGTGGGATATTGTTGAGATGACATGGATCTTTAGAATCGAGGTTGAAAGTAGGTAGTTACGTGATTCAATGTGGCAAAGTATATACAGTCAATACTGTCAATATTCGTAGCCTCTATGTCTATTGAAGAAAGACTAAATTAAATAATAGTTTTGACATTACCAAATGAACTTTTCATTATGAATATCTATATGAACAAGCTTATACATGTATATTTTCATATATACATCGAGATATTTATGCAAACATACACTTGGAAACATCAAATATACCATTTAATTTAAACAAATTTCTTCAATACACACAGAGGGTAGGAATATTTATGGGACTGAGTGTATATGGTGGAGTATATCGAAAGAATAGTTACCTTTTAAGGGAAGTTTCCTTCAGTTTGTATTTTCTCCTGAGCTATCTTTGGAGTTAGCATAGAAATAGCAAATCTACCTTCCTCAAATCTACCCAATCTACTGTATAACTGTGATTTATTTCATGTACCTATGACTAGAATTTGTTCCATTCTCCATCAGCCCTGTAAACATGAGTATAATATGAAAGTATAGATGTGAAAAATTGAGCTAAAACAAGAAGACAACGGTTGGAAGTTCATGTACGAAAAAAAAACCCTGAGAAGGAACATTCTCTTTACTCGTTGCTAAATGGAAGGCTCCTTTAACCCAGGACGCATTCTGCTCCAAATAATTGCGCGATTCAGCAATTCAGTCGATTCGTTTCGAGGCACAATTTACAACCTGCTCGACGACCGTCGCACGGCTGATCGTCAACGAGAGCTGCTCCAAGAGTTGACCCGTTTTCGAGGTTCGTGACCAAACCGGGGCACTCATTTGCCTTAATAACGCTCGGCCGTTCGTCGACTTTCGTTTTTCATGGCGACTGGTTTTTCGCGCGAGAGTCTCCAACGCGGTGATTAACGAGCGCGTACGGATCGCATAACCCTCCAGTAAACGCGCGAAGGTCCAGCAGGCCCCCACTGAACCCTGATATCGATTAGCAATTTTTTAATTAATCCCTCGTTTCTTGAATTTAATCCCATCATTTGGGACAAAAAATCTTTATTGGTTCATTGTGGAAATACCATGGAGATAGATAGAGTAGAGGAGCTGGGAAGACATGGCTCTCCTTATCAGAGGATTTTTATGTCAATAAATAGATGGTTTATACTTTGAACCGTTTGTACTCGAGAGGTGACTCTCAGCCACCACTAGCTTTTCTTTAGGTTTAAAGGTGACCTGATTCTCAAATCTGAAATTAGAGATCCCATTTTCAAAGTCAATACAATCTTAGCATTCGTGGCAATAGAATGCTAATAGAGCATCTCGAGTTGCTGGTAGATACCAGAAAAAAAGCCTCGAGTGAAAAGTGTTAATAATTGTGTTCGCATCAGTAAAAGCACAGAAATAGATAGATTACCACGACTTTCTTTCTCTTAGAGGCTTTCTCTATGTCTCCCTTGCTTTGTCTACAATATTCCTATGGCAAATAGACAACAACTCCCTAAAACATTTGTCAAAGAATCTCAGTATCAAAGACTCTTCTTACATGCCTTAAAATTTTGTTTCCCTCTGTCGACAATGCTCCGAATATACAAGTGTCTTATCAGCGATCGAAATATCCGGACAGTAATCGAGTATTCGGTGTCCCGTGGAACTGGTACTCGAATATTCGATCACCCGAATGCTATCCGTATTCGACGAGACGTCCCAGGCCCGGCACAAAGGAGAGGACTCCTCTCGGGACGACGCGTCCCACGAGGAGAACGTACGAGGCCTGTCGCCCGCGAAGACAAAGAGTGGCGTGTATACAAAGAAACCTGCTGGCACGCAGCGCGTGAGGAAGAACGATGGCGAAATTCCCTGCGTGCAGTCCGTAAATTCCAGACTTTACTGCCCTGTCGTCGGTGAAATCGAAGCATATTATTTCAGCGGACGACGCGCGCTGGATGATCCTCGGGCGCCGCGGACCGAGAACCAGACGGGACGGAGACCGAGTGTCTTTCATTACCGAGGGAAATGTCTTTCGTTCGGGGAACGGATCCCTCCCGCGAAGAACGCGGGCGAAATATCTCGCGAATCATTCCGGAGGATAGCGCCGTGGAAAATGCCGATACCGAGCGATATTTCGACGCGGATTCCTCGACCTTTGAAATATTCCCGCGTCCCGTGAATGTAATTCGACGACAAACGCTCGCGAAACGTCGAAAGAATGTTCCAACTGAGTGAAGAAAACTTGGAAGAGTTGAAACGATCTCTTCTTAGAGAAAGTTTCAGCCCAAATTACTCTTCGTGGTCGATGGTAGAGATATTTTAACGAGAGTATGGTGGAATATTAGGGGTAATATTAGCGATAGTTTGTGTCATTATGTGGGTTTAGAATTTTGTTTAGAAACTAGAGGATGTTGAAGCTTTGGGGGGTTTTGAGTATTTAAGGTTTGAGGCGAAGCAAGCTGTGCACGTGAATTTTTATTGTTACTCTTTTCTTGTTTACATTGAGAAGGATTCTACATGTGTTATATAAGTTGTAAATTCTTATTTTGCTATTTCGAGTCGACGTCTGCGCGTGAAAATCCCCCTCCCCCAAATGGGAGGGAAACAGCCTATATATTTGGCTGTTACATCATCTTGCATTCACTAGTATCTACGATTCCCTCATTCTCTTCAGATACGAACTTTGTGTTCTAGCGATGTAATCATGTGTCCGCAGAATGGCAACTTTTTCGTTTAAGCGATTTATGAACCGGTCTGAAGAAGATGTCACCGTAAGTAGAGAACACCTATTTCTATGGATCCAGCTTTTGAAAGTCCAGCTACCGAAAGCTTCGAGAAGAGGCAGATGTCAACTCAAACCTCGCAAAATAAGAATCTCCGCACAATTTCCGGAATATAAAATCAATACCCCTCGATGAGAAACAACCAAAATTTCAACTCAGTCCACTCGATAGCTACGTAGATAAAAATTCACTTGCACACAGCCCTCCCTAACTGTCCTCCTAGCCGTAAATCGACGAACTCGATCCGTATTTTTCAAATAAATTCCAAACCAGAAGACCGATGACCATACCCCAGCCCCCTAATTTCGCATGGACGGGATCGCGTTTCAATTTCAACGAAATGCTCGCGATCGACCGCAGAGAGTGATCGATTCGTCGTGGAATGACCCCGTAGGCCAATTTTGATGATAGAGCTGTCAAACGAAGAGAATATCGTTCCGTTCGAAGCGTACGCGTGTACATCCCAAGTCTGCCCTTGCATGAAATAGTATGTGTTTAGTAGAAACGGGGGTGGCGGGTCGTTTCTCCGCCGGGACGGGTTTTCGATTAATCGAGGGTCTGTGGTGGCTTGCAGGAGCTGAAGGAAAGCTTCAATTACGGGTTGTTCTGCCCGCCCGTGAATGGAAAAGCCGGAAAATTCTTGGACGAGGAACGTCGCCTAGGCGATTATCCCTTCAATGGACCCGTCGGCTACTTGGAGGTAAGACACCTTTTTTCTTTCTATCGTTACTCTTCTACCGTTCTTCGACTTCGGTCCAGCGGCCAATGACCACAGGACGATGGAGACCTAGCTGGACGCGTGGCGAGGAAAAGATGCGTTTTATTTGCACGGGAATCGCGTTAGAACCTGTTAATACCATCTAGGAGTAGACGGACGTTCCCAGTGCCAACCTGGGACTATAGCAGTGCCTCGTTTAAAGTTAGAAATTCGGGGGTGGATATCGATATTCCTTCACTTCGCCATTTTACCCTGGATTAATAAACTGGAGTTGTTCCGAAAGGGGGTCGAAACGTTAGAGAATAACGCATGCACGATTCGACTCCTGTCGTGTCCAGTTATTTATTCATCCCTCGCGAAACGGAGTTTAAAATTCTATCAATACCCGAGACACCGCCAGTAAGTCGAGGCGTAAGCTCGAGGACAGATCGACTTGATTGTCGAGGGAGGGCGAGACGGTAATGGATTAATTTGAATTTTCATCCCTGACCTCGGGCTATTCTCGTCGGGAATAATCGCCGCGGCCTGAATGCCGCGGTTTAAACATGGTTGGTGGTCTGGGGGGGGGGGGGTGTGCATTGACGCGCTCGAAAAAGGTTATTTCAGCTACAAGATTGCACGGCCCCATTGACGTCCGTTCTGCGTCAAAGAAAACACAAGAAGCCAAGAATCGGGAAAGAGGTTTGCTTGATTACGAAAACCAGCGGCTCTTGAATATCAAGGAGTGAGGGGTGGCGTTTCCACGAGAACCTTCACGCATTTTTTCCCTGCTTCCCTCGGGTCAAGGAGGGGTTCGTCGCTATTTTTTCCCCGCCACCCGGGGTTCTATTTTTCTCGTCTTCTTTCACCACGCGGGAGAAACGAAGAACGACGGAATGTCGTCGCCTTGTCGTCGTGCGAGGATTCTTATGATCGGCGGAAAAACGGACGACGAGGCGCGACGCGAATCTATTCGACGAGCACGCGACGCGAGCGTTGATTTCTCGACCGAACAATTACCATAAACGATCGATCATCGCGTTGGGAGGCGCCTCTCGACGCCTGTACCCGTGTTCCGTTCGAGACTTTATATTTTAAACTGTGAGGGAATAGGTCGCGTCTCAAGAAAAGTTCAAGGTTCGTGTGCTTTGCCATACAGGGTGGGGCAATTTGAATCTAAAGTCGGAGGTGCTAAGTGATACATTTGAATTATTTTATATACCGTCGAGCCTGGGTAAGTGAGAAACCTTTATTAGTAGGACTAATTGCTGTTAGTACCTCTTTCATGCGAGATTAGTACATTGTTTCTTAACATCCATGAATTAAACGATCGTTTTTAGAACTTTTGCACGTGAGACGAACACTTCTTGTACCTAGATAAGCCAAGAATCAAGCGAATGAGATGTCTCTTTAACACGTTGACTGCCAGACTAAAACTCATAAATAATTCTTCAAGGTTAAAATTTTGTCTCGAGGTAATTGAAAATTGTATACCCTACCATTTGTCGTAATATTCAATTTTTGAGACCCTAGAAATTTACGAATTACATTAAAATTTATTTTTATTAATGCCTCAACTTCGGAATTAAATTTTTTAGTTCCTTAACGAAAAGTCATGTCATCCAATTCTTGCTTGACGCATCATGACGTGGCGATCAACGTGTTAAGACTAAACTTCCCTGAAGATCCCACTTAGCCAGGTTCGATTAGGCCAGCAATATTAGTACAAAATAGAAAGAAAGGTACACGAATCTCAGCACAATTAACCCTTTGCGCTCGAGGCATTTTTCTACAGAATCAAATCGTCAATTTTTATAATAAATTTCTGTAAAACCAAAAACATCTACGAACATTCATGACTCAATGTATTATTTCAATTAATAATTAGCTGTATTCTGATATAAGTAAAATTGAAATTGTACGTTCAAAAAATCACTTTTAAATTACATACGTCGCCCTGGAGGCGCCACTCGAACACAAAGGGTTAATAATAAAACTCTAAGTGAGATGAAATCTCTAATAATTCTTCATCCAATTAAAACTCGAATCTTTATTATTCTATCTAACAGATCTTATACATCTCTTGTTTCTTGCGTGAAATGTTTATCCCACGATGAGTTTTCTCCGTATCACGGTCGCGCCACGTATCTGAGGGTCGATACGCCGCGGTGACTGTTGAAACGGGGATTCGCGAAAAACAAATACTCCCGGTGGTCGGTTAACGAGATCTGGATCTTGCCCGCAATTTTCTTGCGTAACCGGATCTAGTTCTCATCACGGTGCTCGCGTTCCCGCTCTTCTTCATCTTCGTCTCCGTGGGCGCGATCGGCGCAAGTGCGGATACCTCTCGCCGCGAGGATTCACTTTCAAGCGGGGCCTCTCGGAGATCTGGAGAGGCGCGGGTCGCTTACCTTTCGAAAGCCCTCGTACGCGTTTAGAAGCCCTCGTACAGAACTCTTCTTTGCGGGACAAGTAATATTTTCGGTGCAAAGAGTATTGGTAACTTGGAGACTAATCACTTGGCGAACACGTACTCGAAGACCTATTCGATGAAGATCAATTTAAATTGGAGGCAGAGATTGATATTATTTGAATCAACCATAGGTTGAATTAATTAATCGTGACTATAACAAGAGTTATGTCATGTAAAGTCAACATACATGAAGGTATGAATTAACAGTGAGTTCAGCTGTTTCAATGGTTTTATTCTAAGGAGTACATTCTCAACTTTGAAGTAATGTATGTATGTATTATGCACTAACTAGAGAATTCCATGAAGGATACTTTCTTATCAAAAAGTTTAAGTAGAGATATCAAAGATAAAACCCAATAGTACCAAGCTTTGTATCAAAACTGTTTTGCTGTCACCAAATCTTAAACCCATCAAAAGATTCAAAATCTTTGATCAGCCACCCTTTTTATGCGAGACTCCTGTGAATTGGGAGGACTGTCTGACCGATTACGAGTGTGCTCGAAGGTCTGACCATGATCGCCACGATCTCCTTTGCTTCGTCCAGCGTTCGCGAGTTACAAATTACCAGGCGCGTTCGTCACCTGCGTTCGAAAAACTCCTTTGACGAATGGCTTCGCTCTGGTTTCCTTCTTCCTCGAACGCGTGCTTCATCCGCTAAGTGCTTTCGTGCTGGAAACTCTAGTCGCGACAGTTTGCAATCTATACGGAAATGAGATAAGCAAGTTGAATATTTCCATCAAACTTTTGTCCTCCGTTCTTGCAATAAAACACACTTTCCGGAAGGTTGTTGCGGTCGACCACGGAGACCTTGCCCCAGAGTTGGGCGTAGTTTGAATAAATCGATGCTAGGAGTGATCATTTTCGACTAAGGAAATATTGGAATAATGGAACACAGAATAACACTTTGGTACATGTGATTTTTCTGTGGTAGTCGTCTTATTTAAATGTATTAATCATATCCCCATGTGCAATAAGTAATTTTGACGTGATATACATGTGAAAGTACGTATTTATAACGAAACATTTATTTGGAAACATGAAACCTACAATTTAATTTACACAAATTCTTCAATAGACATAGAGAGTACGAGTACGAAATATTTTTATACAAAACGTGACATTTCCAAGTAGCTTCTGTAATATTTGTAATATTTCAACACCACAACAATAATTTTACTAGCCTCTATAAACTACTTTCCCAAATTTTTCAGCGAAAGAAAAATCATAGAAGTGCACAAAAATTTCTCTTTGAAATTCCCTACAGGCTCGCAGCCAATTATCCGACCGAAAATTGCTCGGCTCCAGTTTAAAGCTCGGAAATTCCACGGCGCGGTGGTATTTTCCTACCCGTGGTGACCTTGGCCCGCGTGCTCAGGATTTTCAGCCCCGTTCATTTCGAGGAATATTTCAACGTCGAGCTGGAAGATGTAGATAAAGCGCGAACGTCCGAAGATGGTGCGCGGCGTGTTTTACTTTTTCTGGTGGCGCGCGCGGTCAGGTTGCGCGCGAGCAATAACGCTCCTCGGATAGAACACGGGATAGAAATAAATATGCGGGGTTAGACAGGTCCATAGATCACCGGTATTCGGTACCGTCGTTATTCGCAACGTCGTTCCTTTTTTTTCCGCCGTGTTCATCGATCGCTGGCCAAGCGCGAGCCGCGCTTGATCTCGTCACGCGAGATTCACTTTCAGGAACGAGCTGACTCACTACCAGAGGAGCCAACTTCTTCGGACTCTACCTGGGTGTAGTCGCATTCTGTTTGGAGACACTCTGACTCAGAATTTACAAGTCCGCGAATCTTTTCCGGGAGAGGGAATACGCGGTATTCATTTTTGGGGACGCTGGATAGATGAGGATACTTCGGGGAATTTTTTCTGAGGACGCTGAGTTTGTAATGCAAGTGACTGATACGTGTGTCGAAAGTGCATACCTTGAATAGTATTTCTGCTTATTTTCACGATATAGTGTTTATCTATATGTACAGGAATCAACTTGACTCTCGAAAAGTCTGTCTTTCTTCGAGTCAATATTTTAACGAGTCTACATGTACAGCAATAGTGATGTCCATTTTCTATATAGTATGTAGATTGTCTTCGACACATCCACTGGCAATTCTCCGTTGAGTATCGTCCATCAAACCCGTTCCTTAATTTCACCCTGTTCGAATCTTACCAACCCCAATTATTTAACAATTGTAATTAATTGCACACGCGTAGATTCTATCTTAGAGAAACTTAGTAATTTCCTTCGCGAATAAATAAATTAAATAGTACCCTGTACTTTCACCTTTACCGCGTCTCGTTTGTGCGAATGGCTAGAGTCGAAAACGCAGGATGACCGTGCCGCGGGGAGGATGAAACGCGTAGCGGTAGCAGCTCGTAAAAGGCCGGTTAGCTGCGCGTGGAATCTTTGTTCCCAGTGGAAAATGAAAATACTTGATCAAAGCCGGGCTCGTTTTTGCTTGAGGCGGACGAGACGAGAGGACGAGCAGATGATGCAAGCCGCGCTCCCGCGTGGCAGCACCGTATCTCTAATTTGCATTACAACTCGCGTTCCCTTGATAATCATAATTGCTGCTAACGGTAGTCATTAGCGAGCCTGTAGCCGCGATATTGCCTATCCGTCAGTAATCTAACGCTATGAAACAGGACGCCTTCGATAATTACAAAGAAGCTGTAACCACCAGGAAGCGGCAGGGTGAATCCCCCATTAAGCCGAGATAATTTTATACTTTGTGGTGCGCTATTTTCTACGAGGTATCGTTACAAAGGGGAAAGGGGATAACGTATCGCGACGCACGGATCGATAAAAAGTAAGAAACGAGAGCGGTTACGAAAAAGATACCGAGTCTAGACGTCGCGGTTGGTTAATCTCTGGATTTCTCGGGTCTCTACCGACCCGAGTTTCCGGATTACTAATTCGCTCGAATTACTTTTACTCGATTCGATTACGCGCGTTGCTATATTATATAATCGTTACGTTAACATTAGCTACATGGTGGAAGAACAAATTTCAAATTAATTTTATTGTTTTCGGCAGGTCTCTCAGAAAAACTGTCCATTCTCTTTACGCAGCATTAGTTAGGTAAAATCGTCGATTACTTTTACTATGTGGTCATTCGTGCATCTTCTGCTCCTTTTATCCCCACACTTTCTACGAATAACATTACTCTCACGCGGCATTCATCTTCAAAGAATGGAACGGACCGGGTCGAGACAATTTATTTTCTTTTTCAATGATTTCCCATATACAAAAAAAGAATACTTCCTCGTTTCCTTGCCCATAATAATTCAATTCTCGAGTCACAGCACAAATCACGCCCAAAGAATGCCAAAAATACAATCTCTATTCGTTCTCTTAATCGTTCATCTAAGCCCACGAGTAACGTAATTTTTATTCCGCATCTCATACTCCAAATTCACCTAACTCAAGCCTGACAAAATTCAAGTTCTACACGGACCCCGAAGTCGAACTCGACCGAAGTCATCCTAGGTTTAATCAGCGATCGCGCGATCGATGGATCTCGACTAACCAGTGCGATCCCGTTTTTGAATTCGCAGCTCAAGTACAAACGACGGGTCTACAAGATGCTGCACTTGGACGAGAAACAGCTGAAGGCGATGCACACGAGAACGAACCTGCGAAGGCTACTGGAGTACGTGGCGAACAGCCAGGTTGAGAAGATCGCCAAGATGTGCAGCAAAGGCCTGGATCCGAACTTTCATTGCCAGGAAACCGGAGGTAATTACGCATTTTCAAGTAGGTCCTCGAGTCCCAGGAACTCGTAGTTACGCCATCGTGGCCTCCACTTTTGTGTCACGAGACATATTTGTTAAATGTGCAAAGTATTCTTAGGTGAAAGATTTCTTTTTACGAAGGAATACGTATGAATCTGTTTGACACTAAATCTACCGGCATTTGTACCTATTTTTACCATGATCGATCGAATCACCGATCTTAAACACACTTTTTCAATTGGGTGCTAAAGTATTTCACTTGATACTAAATTCAATGATACATGAAACAATTGTATTTATATATAATTGTAATTTATATATCATATATAAGAGCTGTATAGAAAAGTTAGGAAACGGTCGTTTGGCCGGTGGTGATAGATTTAGTGTTAACTTGAAGGGATTTTTATAAAAAGTATTGTGTATTCAATGTATTGTAGGGAGATGAAGAGATTATTCTTGTTGAGTTAGACAGTAGGAGGCCTTGGAGTGAGCAGATCGCGTTATTTTTATTCTGAGATTAGTCTTTGTTTCTCTCTGCAAAATATTCATATCCTCTGCCATTCGAGTTTCAAAATATCAATGTGACAGAAGCTCCAAGATCGAATGAACCCAGTAAAATTATTCCCGACTGTGCCTTGTTATTCTCAACGTAGGATCTTTGTTTCTCCCTACAGTACATTGTACCTTTGCAATTCAATTTTCAAGGTATTAAAATGGCAGAAGCTGAAAGAATTAACCTAGTAAAGTGAGGTCCAGTTGTCGTAATCCCGGCTTGAAAACTGTGCGCGTTTAGGAAAAGTAAATTTCATTAAGGTAAAAGCTGAAGGTGAAACAGAAAATCGTTCTGCCTCCTGGGCGCGTGAACGAACGGAGGCGGCGGAGGTGGGAGAATCTCGCTTGAACCCGCTCGAGCGGATAACTGTATTCGGCAACCGGCTGTATTGCTCGTTCGGTTAATTGTAGAGTCGCTACTACGTACTCGTGTTCTGTCGCCTCGGGATAAGATGTCGACCTTGAGACTGGCGTCGACAGTTATCGGGTTTCTCCCAGAGCTGGGCAAAATTTTATTCGAACGATGGTCGACGAATAAAGTTGAACGTTTGGAGATTCATTCGTTTAAATAGAAACATTTTATTCGTTCAGGTGATATACATTTTGTAATTCGAGTTCTAATTTATTTTGCCAGGTATTGTATTATCGATAGGAAATATTAAACATGTGGGATGATTATATATTAAAATTAGTGAATGTTTCATTTAGGAATTAAATTTAATCCACCACCAGGTGCAGTTAGGGAACATCCGTAAATTCGAGGCTGACGTTGATAATTAAAATCAGAATTTGTAAATAAATAATGCATAAAATTCGTTCTTCAAAGCTATAATCAGATACTTTATTATACAATTTAAGTACAGTATTTGGGTATTTCTTTTCTCTATTTAGATTGAATTTTAATAGAAATGATAAATATTACACAGGCAACGCGTCACGTTTTAAGTTGAACAACCTTCTCATTAAAATTACTAAAGATCCTATCCAATACTTTTATGAACTTTGAATTTATTCTCACCAAAGCCTGCGTCTCTTTTGCAGAGACTCCGTTGACGTTGGCCACGACCCTGAAGAAGCCTTCAAAGGTGATAATAGCGCTAGTGAACGGCGGCGCCCTGCTGGACTATCGAACGAAGGAGGGCTTGACGGCGATGCATCGCGCCGTCGAGAGGAACAGCTTGGAGGCGGTGAAGACGTTACTGGAGCTCGGTGCCAGCCCTAACTACAAAGACACGAAGGGCCTGACGCCGCTCTACTATAGCGTCATCTACAAAACGGACCCGATGCTCTGCGAAACCCTTCTCCACGATCACGCGACGATAGGCGCCCAGGACCTGCAGGGCTGGCAGGAAGTGCATCAGGTTTCAAAAGTTGTTTTAATCTTTCAAGTCGTTCAGACGAGTGCTCGACGCGTATTTTTTCGCGAGGCCCTTCGAGTCATATTGGCGAAAAGCTTGCCACCTTCATCCACCCTCTTTCTAATTATTCTAACGAATTCCTTGACGACGAGCGCCGAGCTGTTTACTTTAAAAGAGGCTGGAAAACGTAGGCAATAGTATATTTAATTCACGTTACCGCAGTTCTGTCAGCTGAAAGCTCAAACAATTTTCAAAATTAATGTTCTTGAAAACGAAGCAGGCTATCCAAAAATTCCATTCTACATTTTCCATCCACTTTTTCATGTAGAATAACTATATTATAGCTTCTTCCACCAATTCCTAGAGGCCTTGTATAAATAGCCTCGTCAGGAAGTCAGTTATTTTCGTATGGCTCCCCAGGACCTACGGTTTGGTGTATTCACCCAAAATTGTTGATCTCGGGTAATGACCGCGTCGATGATAACGACGATGTCTATTACTGGAGACGAACAGAGATTCGAGCCTGCTATCTCGAGGAATTGCTAATCTAATAGGAAGTGACGAATTTATGGCGCCCGTTCCCCATCTTGCTCGGTCTGCTGACGACCGTAGAGATACGCTTGGAACCAGTTGACTGCATTATTAAACCAGCCACGTTCAATTAATTCGCATACAGTCGCGTCGATAACATTTTAACGCTTTATCGATCAGCCGTGTCACGCTTGACCGGACGTTTTGTGCCGCGCAAAGTTCGCGATCCGTCTTTAATTGCACGCCTCGATACGAACCTCCGCAGGATGTTCCGCTCGAAACAGGCGACGTAATTATAACTTTTAATTCGGAGGCTGCAGACTATTTTCGGGGCACATTATCGTAATTGCGACTCTATCCACCTCTCCTTCGGATCCAGTGGAACCGAAGTTTGCCTTCGATAGTGTATCTTCCAAACGCTTGTTATTGTGTGTTCTCGTGCACCCTGTGTAAGCTTTGTATTATTCCAACTAAGTTTGCAGTATGAAAGTAAACACCAACGCGTCTTGGACAACTTGTTTTCCTTTCTAATGAAATTACGGTCAGAAGTCGACCAGTTTGGTTTATACATAGATTAGATAAGAATTACATACATTCGAACCGATATCTGTCTACAAAAAACAATGCAAACAGGATTAAATACATAAAGAATAATTACCGCAGACGGGGATAAATATTAACCTACTTGCATAATACGAGAAACAAAACTCTTCTCGTTTTATTCTCGTAGCATTCGATTATTCGCAGTATCTCATACAATATCCAGAAAGATCCGTACTTATAGATAACAGAAACCATAGAACCTGACGCCAGTCTTAAAGCAGACAAACATCGTCTTATCTCTTCATCTACAAATTAGAGACTCGCACCTCGGAAGATATAAGCGCGCCTAAACATCAGCGTTAAATATCTCCGACGCTTGTTAAACCCACGATCGTAAAGCCATAATCGCACGGCTATTTTGAGCGTTATCGTCGCGTAGTGGCTAGTTAAAAAGAATAAAGTGAGCGGTTTCAGGGAGGTATTAACGCGATTCGAGCAATCGGTGATGTTTGTTTACGCGCGAGGCGAGACGAGATTGAAAGGAGGGAAGGTACCAAAGCACGGTTTAATTATAATCGTCTCCCCTTCGATAATCGATACCCGTTGGTGTTCGCAGGCCTGCCGTAACAATCTGGTCCAACACCTGGATCACTTGCTGTTCTACGGTGCCGACATGAACGCGCGTAACGCGTCCGGGAACACGCCGTTGCACGTTTGCGCAGTGAACAACACCGACGCCTCTTGCATACGACAGTTACTGTTCAGAGGCGCGCAGAAGGACAGCCTAAATTACGCTAATCAAACGCCTTACCAAGTCGCGGTGATCGCTGGGAATATGGAGCTGGCCGAGGTCATCAAGAATTATCAGCCCGAGGAAGTTGGTGAGTGCCTGAGACTCTGTGCCCGAACTAGACACCCTGCAAATGAAGGACACCCTCGGAATCAGTGGTCCCGCGCGACCAGTCACCCTTTCCAGCCTGGAGAACACGCGGTGCTTCAGGGATGGGCAGAATCTTGTTCGAACGACAGATCAAGACTCTGTGTCGAAATTTGATTGATAAGGATAAGCTTAGTAGCGAGGAATGCTTGCGAGTGATATGGCGTAGCTCGTGGTCGAATCGAGCATTTTAATTTGCCCATCTCTGGCTCCCAAGTGAGTGATCGGTCGATCAGGTTCATACCCTGGGTCCCCCAAGTAAGGGTTCTTTTCGCTTTAAGAATTTCAAAGCATCGTATCCTCTCTACACTTTAAACAAGAGTGTGCTTTAATATCTCTGCTCCATCTACGTTCAATCCTCTTTTGTCGTCAAACTATAACTTTCTTCTCCTACCCATAACTTTTATTCTCTGTTCTATAAAGCTATCTACCTCCAAGAACGTGTGTCCAAATTCCTCTAAACCACCCCGTTGTTTGACGTGGTAAAGTGAGAAGATCTTCAAATCGCAACATTAACTCGTCCAATCTGTAAATATTAATACCGCGCTGTTGTAATAAATTCGCCTAATCCGAGCGGTCGACGACGCCGTTTCGCGCTCGAGATTAGGCGCGCGATACGACCGTTTCAAGTTAAACGTCACGTCGTTCGGAAAATGGAGGAGTGCGCGAACGTCTTATCTGATAAAACACGGACTTCGATCGATCGATCGTTCGCGAGAATCTTTCGTAGCACGGTTAGCCTGGCATGAGCATGTACGTAGCGAGCTTCTCTTCTTCTTCTTCTTTTTTTTTCTTCTTCATCTTTTCTGACAACACGCTTGTACGCTTGTTCGTAGGGTGATGCGTAGACCAGTCGTACACATGTTGGCTAGTGTAAATATATACGTAAACACTTGTATTTATACATATAATTTATATGTAATTGTGCGTGTATCTGTGCCTCTGTGCTGTGCGACACAAGTACGAAATTGTAAAAGTCTGGTGGTGATCTTTGGTGGTGATGGTCCTTGTAAGACGTCGAGTATCTTTGTAACAATTAACGAGAAGTAACACAAGTTTGATTGACTGCTTTTGAGTAACCTAATGACACCGTATCTTTGGATCGTCGTCGACAGACCTCGATGCTGCTGGATTTGGACGTAAGCTTTCGAAATTTAGTAACAAGATCGTTGAAAATAAATCTAATAGAGACTAGCTCCTGCAGCATCGAAGTTACTAGAACCAGTTGATTAGTAATGTTTGGTAGTTTCGACGTTATTAGGTCGTTCCATAAGTAATGCGGTTCTTTCCGTTCTGGACAGAAAGGATTGATTTCTTTCGATTTATAAATATCGTAGAAGAGATGGGGAAACGCTGTATTAGACCATCTTTGCCACCGGTTTGTACCAACGACGTTCCCTTCGCACACCTAACACTCGTTTCTCACCGTTGCTTTGCTTCTGTTTTTAATACTCGCGTAACACTGTCTACCGAATACGCTTTTAATTGAAATTCGCGAGACAAGCAAGTCGCACTCGTTAAATTATTTATACGAAATGAGTAGACGCGCACCGCGACTAGTTTTATCACTTTTTCGCACGGACCACGGGAAACCCGCATTACTTGTACGATGATCTAACAGTTTGTGAGCGTAAGTGTGCCGTCGTGGACCATTGGACGTCGAGAAACAGAGACGGGCATGATTTCGTTAAAAATAAAAAATTAATCTAAGTAAACATAGAAACTCGCGAGTGGTGAACGTTTTACGATAATGTGCTTAATGAAACTTGTACTAGAACTCGAATTATGTCATTAAATGTTTCACAATCGACATATTTGAGTGATCGATCGACCAAGGTCATGGATAAATTGCTGTATATTGCCTTCGTTCCGATGAAATTGTACCTGTCTCTGGTTCGAGATGATCGATGCACATGCTATGACATAACCGAAACACGAAGACCGTCGATGGTGACTTTGGGCACATTGTATCGTACAAAAGTGGTACAAGTAGCGCCTGGAATGCGTGACTTCGCGTGCTTCTCACCGCTTTTCTGTACAGGGATTAACAAAACGTTCGACATCGCGCATTGAACAATTTCAACAATCTATGTGAACAAAAGTATGGAAAAGGTGTGTCTAGGATAAACAAAAATCTACTTAATTTTTCAAGTAAATATAGTAGAGTAAATGACTGCACCTTTGATTGATAAGATAGAGATGGAATAGCAATAGATATCTATCGATAGAAGCCACTATAAAAGAACTGATCTATGTAGTACAAACAAATTTACCCGTAACATTTCTATATCGCTGTACTGCGACGTTTAAAAATTATAGGTCTCGAGCAAATTGTAACACACCCATTCCTTATCGAAACGAAGAAAATGTTAAGATTACAGTTGTGTCCTCGAGGTGATCGCAATAGTTAATTGATACATAAAAAATGGTTAAGTAATGTATGAAATTCGAACAAGAAACCAGTTAAATACACCTTTCATAATTTTGTTCGGCTAGATTGTTGAAATCGTCAATTGTGCGTCGTCGTTCCTATGGGCAAATCGCGCACCCAGCGACGGATTATGGGAGAGAAACAGACAATCGTTTAGGTCTATTTAATAATGAACACCATATTTATTCTATTATCCACAATTTCTATGAAATAATCAATATAATTACACACTTTTGCTTAGCTTCACTGGACATAACAATATTTATTTATTGAAGTTCTTATTTACAATAACTCTAACGTCACGATAGAATACACTTTTCAATTTCATTTATCACAAATCATATTAGGGCTCGAAAGCTACGATTGTCCAGGGTCCTGTTGAAGGTCAATTCGCTACTGCGTGCCCCGACTAAAGCATTTCTGTACGCGCGCGTGAATGCGTGCGTGCGTTGGCGGTTTGTACGTCTGCTTGAGAGAAAATCTTGCGACGATCTTCGATCCGTGCATCGCCAAACGTCGAACGAACTTCGAATTTCGCTCCAAACCACCCCTCTGTACGAGATGATGTCCCACTCCACGATTGGGACTCTCGCGTGGGGCTCCTTCCCTTCCACGGGTCGCATCCGAAAAAATGAGGGGCGCCAGTGTGCCGCGGTGCGTAGGGCAGAGCAGGTCGGGAATATACGCCGTCGCGAAACGCGAGTTCTGACGTGATCATGGTGGTGGGAGCTCTCGGCCACATGTGCCCGCCTGTGGACCGTCCTGCCCTAAAAATGTCTGTACACCGACGAGCGAACGCGAACGAACGCACTCGTCCAACGTGCCCTGCTGTTCTTTCTTAACCAGTCAGCTGTGATTGGCGAGTATACTCGTCATGGTGAAAAGGCAGTATTTTGCGTCATGACAAGCATACTCGTCATGCGTAAAATTTAATTACCATTGGTTATTTAGGAGTACGTTTCACATATTAATTTGGAGTCGCGGAAGTATAAGTGGGATGTAGTTTTGGGACGACCTAATATATAGCCATCTTTGCGATCCGATAGTACTCTGTGTTTGACGATTATATCTGTCGTAGCTTGATTCTGACGACAGACATAAGTGCGCGCTCTGGAAAGAAGACGCCACAGCCGACTGATTAACACATTGCGGTCATATTCGACATTCTCGTTCCCTCTTTGGTGTACAGCCACCCCAAACGCGTCGTTCGAAACGAGCATACCCACCACCTCGCGAACCTTCCGCGGATATTCTGATCGCGTGACTTTGGATTTGTATCGACGTAGAAAGATGGTATCGGAGAGAGCTTCCTCGCTTCGAGGAGGACGGGACCTTCGCGCCTACATTGTAAGGCTAAGTAATCCTTTCTTTACTTAACCTTGCAACCCTCGATTTTCCAGTACCGTTTAAAGGGCCGCCACGCTACAACCCGAAACGACGCTCGGTGGCGTTCGCCGGCACGTCGACGATGACCACGAGCTGCTCGGCCAGTAACTTGGGCACCCTGACCAGGATACCGTCCGCGGAGCAACAGCACGGCTCCACGGGAATCGGCGCCCCTGGGGGCAGCCTGACCAGAACGATCTCGGTGGAGCAGTACACGTCGAGCGTCCACGCGGTAACGAGAGTACCGTCCGCCGAGCAATACGCCAGCCTGACCAGAGTACCGTCCACGGAACACCAACAGTATCCATCCATCGGCACCCTGAACAGAGTACCGTCCGGTGAACAATACGCCAGCCCAATCGCGACCGCGACCGGTACGGTTACCAGGGTATCCACGTCCACAGAGCAATACACCTCGACGAGTGGTACCCTGACCAGAGTGCCGTCCACCGAGCAATACCCAACTGGCACGCTCACCAGAGTACCGTCCACCGAGCAGTATCCGAGCAGGACTCTGTCCGGCGAGCAGTACGCCGGCACGACCGGTATCGCGAGGACGGAGTCCCATCACGCCAGCCTAGGCAGAGTACCGTCCATCGAACCGACCAGAAACGACCTACAGAGAATACCGTCCGAGCACCACGTACCCAGACCCGAGCAGAACGGTCATCGGATCACGACGGACTACCAGAGCCCCAATTCGCTGAGGGATCCTAACGCGAGGTAAGCATAAACTGTCTTTGCGGTCCCACGAACTCGGCTGCTCGCGGGATTCCCTTCAAACCCCCACGATTAATACTATCCGGCGGATCTACCCTCTTGGATGGTCCTTGGATAGCAAGTTGCTGTTGTTACCGTCCGAGGCAGTTAGATGCAGTTAGGTGTGCTTTCGGGAAGGAGGCAGAGAATTTCATTAGTAATCGACCTCTGCTCTAACTCCGTGTCCAGTCTAGTCGGCGAATTCATTCCTGCATCGAATTGCCATAGAAAATGATCATTTCATGTAAAAGACCTTGGTATCATTGGATTAGAACCTCTTTCCCTAAAGGATAAATCTTGAGCAGGGCTTTCACGTGGAAGGATTATCGGGACCAGAGTTTTTCGTACATGCAAGTCAATTCGACTAACTTTACTGGCGCTAACAAGGGGACATCACGTGTATAGGATCGTAGATTTATATGACGACTTAGACAGCGTCAATTTTTATAAATATGATAAAGTATGTGCGGTTTGCGTCCGAAGTGCATTCGAATCTATAGCTATGTATTTAAACTCGAGACCTTTCAGTGCATAACGAAACTTTACTAACTTGGGCAATTAATATTATAAAAGCCCTTTGGCACAAAAGCTTGAAGAATTACGATATTTATTACCTATAGAGTAAACGTCTAAATCGTCATGTAAATCCACGATACCCTAGGTGTGAAGTCCCCTTACAAGATGCCTTTGACTCTTTTGTCGCGACTCCTTCCCATACAGTGACAAAAACGTCAAAGAAGCAACAATCTATGTGAGATTCTTTTCTTCAATGAGGATGAGAGGACGTAAATAAAGACAGAATTAAACGAAATAAAAGTGTCAATCGAAGAGCATCAATTTAAGACCGTTGTCCACCTATGTGGACGTTTAATTTTTTATGATTATAATTACTGTCAATAATAAAAAGAACAGATCGTCCCTGAAGAAGTTAAATACTTTTATTTCATATAATTCTATCTTTATTTACATCCGCTCATCCTCATTAAAGAAAAGAGTCCTACACTAAACCTCGCGTTTGAGAACAGAGTTTCTACTTTAAATAAGAGAACTAAATTTTTATATCTGAGCCCCCCCGCCCCCCGCATCCCCTTCGGACGGTACCACCTGTAACAGAGCCCCGTGGTCCCCAGCCCTCCCCCCTCGCGTTAAGAAACTCGTCTTCCGTAACACGTGCTTGGGATTATCCCCAGCCGCGTTGAAGCAAAGACAATTTACGCTAATCTCGTGAGACTTGTCGAGCATCGGGGTCGAATAACGCCACGTTCTATACGCGTGTTACACTCCCATTTCAAGATTACCAGCCAACGCGGAGAACTATCAGAACTTAAGAATGGAGGGTCTGACGAGGCTGCAAGAACACCGGCTCGAGCTTCAGCAGCGTCTCGACATGCACAGAACGATGGAGATGCCCCCGTCGCCGTCGCCGAGCAGCAGAAGTCTAGCTCCTTTCAGCTCGGCTAGCTCGAGCCTCTCCGAAGGCAGCAATCAACCGTCCGGCGAAGATTCCGCCAGCATCGTCACAGGTATACATACACCCGCGCACACACAACACACACGCACAGGTTCGCTCTCCTCGAGGTCCCTCGAAGACGAGACGAGCGAAGACGTGTTCTTCTAAAACACCAACCCCCACCGAAGATCCTCGAGATTTTGTTCGTGAGTTTTGGGTACAAGAAGCCTAGAGGTAACGGTTGAGAGCGTGAGAAAGGTTTGCGCATGTGGCGAGACTCGAACGTCGAACCATCACCATCAGAAACGCTAGGGACGAAGGTGGACCCAGCCATGTTTTCGAGACGAAACCCTCACCCCGCGTGTTCACAGTTGTCTTAGTTGGATGCAACATCAGCAACCTAGAGTTTCGTTGTCGCAATGACGCATCGTCCGATGTTCGACGATTCCTTTCCTACCGTTAAGACTAGCCTTGCGTTAAGAATCTAGCGTCGCACGACGTTCATCGGTTTAAGACCACCGAGCCTTGCCGCGCAGGAAATGCTCAGCGATGTTTTCTTTGTTTACTGGGTATCTAGACAAGAGTCTCGGCGACACGGCCTCGGACGTAATCAGCGACAGCTCGGGGGTTGGTACCTCGCAGTCGGACACCACCAATTCCCTGTCGATCCCTGGAACCACCGTCGTCTGCGTCGAGAGCTACAACAGCGGTATCTTGGGCCATCTGAGCATCAATCAAGGAGATATCCTAGAAGGTACGGGAGGTTCCTCGAACCTTTTCTTGTTGATCGATGCTCAATCGGTCGGCTGCTTTATGTCATTCCATGTGAATTTCTGTTTTGTAGGTAACTCCAAATATTAAATGTTCTGATGGCAAGGCTATTGTTTTTGTTTCATTATTTTTAACAGTCACCGGAGCTACCGACTGTGGCCTCCTCGAGGGAGTCCTTCGAGGACAGGGCACGGGGCTCTTCCCCGCGCACTGCGTCCAGGAGGTCAGACTTCGTCATACCAATATCCCATTGGGACCCCAGCCTGCCAGGGACGGACGGAACAGAGTCTTGGGCCGCAGGGAATCGCAACACAAGTATTTCGCCACGGCGCCCAGATTGAAGAAACCGTGAGTTGGATTATAGCTCTTAATCAGTCAATTTTTAATTTTTGTAGTTCAATGTGTGGTTTAAAATTAGGGACTTAACTTGATAAGATTAGACAAGATTCTACTATTATCAAAAAGAGTCGAAAAGGAGGAAAAGTACAATATAACGCTCGATACAAATGTACTTAAAATTTGGTTTAATTGTTTCTTTATTAGAGAAGATAGACACAAAGTTTATGTTGTTCTTTGTATAAAAATTGCATCCTCCTTGAGTTTTATTACAAGTTACAAGTACATAATAGAAAAGTTAAAGAACCCCAAAATCCTTTTTCAACCTAGAGATAACATATAACGTTTAAGACTCCATCCTGATACCAGGCTTCTTACAAGTGCGGCCACATTTCTGGATAATATTCCCGTTGATAAATACATAAATAAGAATAATAAGCCGGTCGAGGTGTAACCGTTCCGCTCGTTTAGAAATGTAACGTTAGACGATCCACGCGTAAGACAGTTATAACAGAAGTTTCAATCTAATCGAGCCGCGTATTCGGCCGAGGCGACTACTAATTTCCTTCAGCGTTGAAGGCTCGAGCGGTAACGGAAACGATCGCTGCTTATGCACGCGGATAACCGTTACTCGATTTAACGATGTTGCAGAGTTACGTCGGAGCCACGCACCGTGGTATTGCACCGCTCGAGAAAAGGTTTCGGTTTCGTGCTACGAGGTGCCAAGGCGACTTCACCCTTGATGGAACTGACGCCGTCGGCCAGGTACCCCGCCTTGCAGTACCTGGATGACGTCGATCAAGGGGGAGTGGCCGACCTGGCCGGTCTTCGCAAAGGGGACTTCCTCATTCAAGTAATTTACTTTTACTTTTGTCCACGGGCGTGCATAATATTACGCGTATTGAGAGAAAAGAACGCACAGGAACATTGGTTTTGCATCGTGAAATATTACATTCTATAGTTCCAGTTGTACTTTTTATTTCATAAGTAACACATAAACGTATAGCAATTTATTCCTGACATTTAATCTATCGAACATTTCAGTTTTTATTCGTCCATTTTGAAATATTTAATTCTATAGTTCAAGTTTTATTTTTTATTCTATAAGTAACACACGAACCTACAGCAATTTATTACGTTTATTCGATTGGATATTGTAATCTTTACTTCACGAGTCATCAGTGAACAGTTATCGATCTGTTTCTATCTAAAAATACACCCTTTCGTTCCTTATCTACGTAACATGGAGTATAACATGTACTGACATATGTCCAACATGATCTGCGCGCAGATCAACGGCGAGGACGTGACAACGGCGTCGCACGAACACGTAGTAGACCTGATCCGAAAGTCTGGTGAGCTGGTCCGAATGACCGTGGTCTCGCCGATGATCAGCCTTCCGAACTCGCAATCGGCAGCCATTCTGCCAACTAGTCAACCTATACAGAGACAGTACGCAACCCTGCCGCGCAAAGGTAACAACAACGTGGTGATCGGCGGCACGCTTGGCAGATCACCAGCTCCCATGCCACCGAGACGGGACCCGAAGACGACACTGAGCGTTGGTAGGGCGCGAGCCAGATCTATGGTCGCGGGATTGGGTGAGTTCCCATCCCGATACCTCAAAACTAGAGCCTTCGATCTCGCACATACGTGAAATTACAACCAATTGGAACTGTATGACTCATCATCCTTGTCATCCTTCATGGTTCCACTGAAGTTGGTCTCCTTAGATTTCGTAGCTTTTACTCATCATCCTTGTCAATCTTCATGGTTCCACTGAAGTTGGTCTCCTTAGGTCTCGTAATGTTTACTGTGAAACTGTATTATACCACATTTCTTCGCCCACTTCATCTATCAATTTCCTTTCCTATCAACTTCTTGTCCTCCTCTGACTCCTACCACTGAAATGATGAAGTCCACGCGTACTTGTGAAACCCATATCGGATAGAATTGCACACTAAACCCATAAACACGTGAAACGAGGGCTCTAGTTTGTCCTAAAGCGATTCACCTAAGTCTACGAACCGCCTGCAATGTTCCTCTGTGTGCCTCGCAGAGGGCGGCGGTGAAAGGGACGATCGCGACGAGATCACCTCGACGGGGGCCAAATCGAGTAGCGCGGAGTCGATACATCTTCCTCAACAACCATCCACCGGGTCCAACACGGGCCAGAACACCCCGGTGCAGCCGAGGACGGCCAGTATCCGATCGAGACCAACCTCCAGCAGGATCACTGCCGCGGAACTGGAGGTACACGCGTGATCCGTGAAGCTAACGGTTGCTCGACCATCGCTTCTTTGTTCTCCTTGAATGGCATTGCACGACACCGATGCTTCAAGCTTTGTCCTTCCTCTTCTTCCAGGAACTATTTCAGCGGCAGCAAGGTAGCACCAGTGGTCAGTACAGCTCGTCCATGATGAGCTCTCACTTTCAGACTGGTCAAGCTACCAAGTCGCATCCTTCCTCGCCCGCAAAGACCGGCAGGGTATACGCGAGCGTAGCGGAAATGAAACGCAAAGGCAAAGTAAGAACACACACACTACCCTCCAACATTTAATTCGTGTATTTTCTCTTTTGGCCTGCAGTTGGTGCGTTAGACGGTAGATCTTAAGCTAGGAACACAATTGCCTTCTCTGGGGTTTCTTAACGATATTGTCGATGAAATACAACAGTCAGTCGAATTTATTTATATTGAGATTGCTTGAAAATCGGCCCCCCTACTAAAACGTGTATCTATTTTATTTTACTGCTTTATCTGACCTCCACACACCAAAGAGTCCCTTCAAATCTTCGATACCAATTTTAATCACCAGACGACGGATCTATCTCTATTCAAAAACACATGCTTTTAAACTTCATTAAGTATTTAACTAAAACAATCGTCGGAGAAGGCAACCTCTTATCTACAACCCCCAGAGGGTCTGCCCGTAATAATAGTTTGGATACTTTCCACGTCATTCTACAGAACCTTGTCTAACCCTTTCGTAGATTGTTCATGCTAGCCCCTTTTTAATTAGCTGGTGTCCCCGTTATGAATTGTTTTCACCCGTTATCGATACCCCGGTTCGATGTAAGAGTTTCAAAGACTGTCAGACATAACTGACAAAGCTCTTCGTCGATGCATGCTCGGGGTTGGGGAGGGCTGACGGTGGCTGTTTTTTTACGCATGTGTGTTATAGTTTTCTCGCAAGCCAGCACAAGTGTACATCAAGGGGCGTTCCTGGTACGAGAGAGACAACGAGGACGACTTATATTACTGATCGAAAATACTTTGTTTCTAGCGCGTCCATGACTTGCATGATTCCAGGTGACTAAGCCATTTGCTAATGAAAATCCGATGCTCGAAAGGGCATCGGATATCACCTTCAGCTTTACGAACACGCCTCGCAGAACTAACGATGTGTATCCGTGTAACAAACATTTTAATTACTTTGCTTTCACTTTTTTTTTTGCGCGCGAGAGCTCCCTCGTGCGGGTTAAATGTGACGGGTAGTAGTGGTCTGAGACTTTTATCCGCTTTTGTAAGAACCCGTACCGATTGTACGTACTCCGATCATTTGAACAACTGTCCTTTTGCGTTAAGTATGAATGTAGAACTCGCTATGCGTCCAGCTGTTGTTTTCGTGAACGCTGTACCTGACGACGCTCGACGGATGGCGAGTTTCAATTCGTTGTTGGTTTGTTCGCAGTCGAGCTCGAGAGTGCGCTTCTTTGGGGGATTGGGGGGCGGTTCCGATCTTCACCGAGACTTTCACAGTACCCCAGACTTGAACATGCAAGCTCAGTCGTCCGTGTTGGCACCGAAAGGGCACAGAAGCCAGGAAGACGTGAACGCGTTGAATGGCAGAAATGGATTGCCACCGCCTAATCATCCGCCGCCACCTCCACCGGTTGGACAGGTCGTCAAGGTCAACGTGGGGGCCAATGTCCCAGATGTGGTCACCCCTGCTTCTGTATACGATAACATGGCGCATATACAGCAAGTTAAAGGTACCGTATCTTTTCTTGATACAGTAGAAGTCCTAGGGAAATTTAATAGACTTTACTACTACATGTACTAGACTTCACATAAATTTATGAAAGTTTAACTAACCAACTCTTGTTACCTTTGTCCATTCAGAATTGGCGGCCGCAACAACCGACGGAGGTTACGGCGTGATGTCCAGCTTTCGACCCTCGAACAGCGCGAAGCTTTACGCTTCTCCAGAGGACACGAAGACGGTAGGCTATCGTTCCCGCAGCCTTCCAGCGCACACGACCCGCTGCCACGTGAGGAAGTCCCACAGCCTGCGCACCCCCAACAACACCACGTTCAAGCCTGTGAGCAATCAGCAAAATTCGAGCAACACAGCGAGCAACAACAACCAGGTGGGTAACAATCAGTACGCGCAGCCCCTGAAGACGAACAGAAGCCACAGCACGGCGGGCATCAGGGAACGAAAGAAGAAGGTCATCGCCACCAGCTCCTCCGTCACGAATCTCAGCTCCATCTCCAACACCAACGCAGGGCCAACTGTCCCCAGCTCGGCTGCGCCACCTATTCCAGAGCCCGATTACAGCCTTTCCGAGTCCGAGAACGACGAGGGCGAAGAGGAGACGGACGACGACGTGGAGTCTGAGATTGCGAAGGAACTCGAGAAGGCAGCTGCAAGGGAGAAGCTAGAGTCCACCAGAGAGACCTCGGGGAATTCGAACACCTCTGGCTCGAGTTCCTCTGGCAGCAGTTCGTTGCCGCATTCGTTCAGCGTGGAGGAAATCCAAAAGGTGAGGACCCAGCTGAAGTCGTCCAAGAGTCATCCCAACGACTTCCTGCTGCAGCAGACGCAGCAGTCCCTGGTAGAAGACGGGGATAACAGTTCAAGCGGAGTCAGTTCTGATCAAGATGTGCCAGTGGGTCCTCCGACGGGTTTCGACGACACGGCTGCGAGGAATCTAGCCAACGATGCTAGCCAGCACTCGACGACGGTGCTGACGGTGTCGAGCAACGAGAAGGAGGGGAATCCTAAAAGGACCAGCTACGGTGGCAGCGGTTTGCTCACCAGACACGCGGTGAGTCTGGCCCAATTGCCACCCCCGATCGAAGCAGACGCCGAAGAGCAGAGCAACGACCTGTTCGTGCCACCGCCGCCCGAATTTAACGCTGGACCCTCCGCTGGGAATACGGACGAGATGGTCTTCGCACCGCCTCCTCAGTTCTGCGACAACAAGCAACAGCAGCAGAACCGCGTAAAGATCATCGGCGCGATACCGAAAGTTACCAACAATCAGGTGAAGGCTTCCGGTGGACGGTTGCACAATCAGTGAACGAACGATCGTCGCGAACCGTCGCCAATACACGGTTCGAATCGCGCATGATCGATGATCACGATCGCCCAGAGTCAATTTAATCTCTCCGTATTTAACCTTCCTCTCCAGTCAGAGATTGGCGCTGTCCGGGCACGATCCGTGTTTCCGCGACGAGAATTGATACCGCCACTTCGAGATCGTTGGTACACACGTACACACACGCATACACACGTAAAGACACATACAAACATATACAGACACATGCAGCGGGCGCTCAGCTACTCAAGACCACTGGGTTCTATGCAGCTAGTTTGAATGCAGGACATCTTTAGGACTTTTTTTTAGAATGGTATAACGTGCCAATGGAAATGAATTTTATTTCTGCGTATAGAAGGAATAGTATGGTTGTAGGAAATATTTTTTACGTTTGCTTTAGACGCGGAAAAATGGCGTTGCTTTGGCTCGTAATGTGCGTCGGTGTTTCGGAGTCTAGGTCCATCGGTGCTTGAAGATGAAAGGTTGAGCAATGTTGTTTTCTTCAAGGTATTTTCCATCGTATGACGCATAAAACTTTTAAAATTTTAAGGATTTTAGAAATGATGGCGCTTGGAAGAGAGCTGTATTCAGCAGCAACGGTTTTATTGTAATGCGGATAGTAATAGGTAGAAGACACTGTACGTCATGCGATGGTGAATATGGTCGAGAATATTAGTGCCAAATTTTATAGAAATCGGATCAACTGTCCAAGTCGCTGAAACAGAACACGTGGTGTCGAGGCATACGTGTTTAAAGCTCTGCGTCAGGTATTTTTGTCGATATGTTTATCATTTTGAGTTCAAACTATCTCTTTACATGAAAAAAGAATTTTAATTTTGTTCGCCAGAAGGAATCCCTTGAGAATCAAGCATGACTCGCGTGTTAGTCTGATTTTCCACAGGTTATCTCGTAAGGTACTTTGAGGATTGTGTGCGGTGAATAACATAACTTTATTTTATTCTTAACCCTTTCTTAAGTCTTATCATCGTAGCATTGAACAGCCACTTACTTCAAACCAAATCAAATTGATATTATTCTTAGTGATTGAGTTGGTAAAGCGAGTCACCCAAATTTGAGCCAGATAAATTGGTGAATAGACTTTGACTTTCTTATTAAAATACCTTCTTATAATTTCAAATCTTCAAAACATTCAAAGTACTCGCAATCTATAAATTGGAAATAAAGCTCCATCAGTATCGAGTCACGCAATTTTCAACGCATATTCCTCGTGATTTTAAGTTATACAAAATTGAGTTAGCACGACGTTTATTTCCTTTGTTTCGTTAAGTGAGGGGGCGGTCTCGAGTAGCTCGCCACTGTAGATACATAAGGTTATTGCAATAAATTTTTCACACGAATACAAGACGCGTTCTCGCGCCCTTAAGGGTTTCTTTTTGTAAGGAGCGAATGCGCTTCGATCGAGAGAGTTCGCGTGTCGCTCGATCGCGCGTCCCCGCGATGGTAGTCCGAGCGAAAAATATTTCAGCGAGTTTTTACCGTAAAACCTAGATGAGCGCGTGTCGAAGTACGAGCCGCAAAATAGTCAAAATCCCGTGTAGCCGTCTCGCGGAATGGCCTAAAGGGGTCGATCCTGAACAAGATCCACGAACCGTAGCTCGTAATTAGAGAGAAAGAGTGAGAGAGCAATTCTGTGCGTGTGGAAACGTAGCGAACGAATGTGTAGCGTATAATCGGGGTTTGTTTTTCATGTTTCTATCGAGATATACGACGCGTGTTTAATACTTTTACATTTAACGACCTTTTAACAGACCCCTCCCTTGATCCTTCCCCGCTGTCCTTAAGAACGCCATCAATTTCTCTCTGCCCGAAACACATAGCGAAGAGCATTCTCGACGGACGATTAGGGTATCTGGTTAATTGAATCGATGCTTGTTAAGGCATCTTCTCACTTCGGGTGTTTGACAAGTGTATTTTTTAGTGTTAAAGAGTTACTAGTTGCTCCTTTGCTGGGGGATCGATTCAATTTTGCTTCAGTGTAATAGAATTTATTTGTTTCACTGTTGAGTAACTGTATTGTAATATTATTTGTAAATAATTTTTCTGTAATATTCCAACTCTTGATGTACCTTGTGAGTTGTACAAATTTTATCGAGATCGTTTAGCCCCTCTATGCTTTTTGAAGTGGGAAGATCCTTTAATAGAGATTCAAAGACAACAACGATGGGTACAATTCTTCTCTAGATAATGACATCGAGTAAGGAATATAAAAGAGTGGGAACCTCCAATCTATTACTCGTTGAATAAAAATTCAGATTCTAGTGTGAAGTATATTCGCAGCAAACAAACAAAAATTGCAACCGTCAAACGATTATTAATCTTGAATTAATAATCACATCAAGTTGATGCGTCGTTCGAGTAGAATTCTTCCCATTCGTATTCAGGATGCTTCGTACCGATGGGTTGGTTAGCTAAATAGTAAACAATGAAAAAAAAAAGAAAAAGAAAAACGAAGAATAAAAAACGCGCGCGATTGAGTTCGATTCCGTTTCTCTCTCTCTCGTGTCTAGACACTGCTCAAGAGCCTAATTACAAATGTTCTACTCGCAAAAAGTCATTAGAGATTGTTTCTAGTTTGTAATAACGTTTAAATAGCGCAACGACGAGTATGAATTTATCGCTAAGCTCTCGTAATCCGCGTTAATAGAGGCGCACTGTACTACTACGTTAACGCACCAACATTATTCAGCTTGTAAGATAGAAATCGTATTCCTTCCAGATTCGAATCAGGCTCCTGGGAGCCGCGAGATGCTACGTTTTACTCACCGTTCACGGGGAAACGAACGATGGATCATTCAGTGAAATGGTTTAGCCATTATTTGACGTTTAATCGCGACGAGAAGGTCGCGTGATTCTGTGTTTGTTTGCTTTGTAAACGACAAGGAAGCGTCGAAGGAAATTCTGTAGTAGATTGTTCTCTCGTAGCCAAGTCCTTGGAAGCAAACATCGCACCGAGGATGCAGCGATTAGATCATTTTATTGCATCGAAAAGTATGTTCGAATGTGAGCTTTAAGTATTCACTTTGCAGGAAAAAATTCATTGAGGAACTTAAAATTATTCAACGCGCTATATCTTCTTATCTGCTTATCACAAAAAAACTTTGAACGATCTCATCTTTTTCGCCAAGACATTAGCTAATAAAAAGCATTGCGCACGTTTTACGAAATTCTCCATAGTTTTCGAGATATACGAAATATACGATATGCTCCCACCCCCATGAATTTAACTCTGACAAAATGAAAGTACTTAAAATTCATATAGAGACATATACAGTGGCGCAAATAAAATGTAATCGTTGCATTTGGTAGGTATCTTGGGACTGAGTTACGATGACGATCGAATCCCCGCGTTGATTTGTCCTTTTGTATATAGTACAACACGTCCAATCGGGAAATTAAATCCGATGGCGTCGAAATGTTTGGATAGCAACAATATCTCGCGACTCTCGGTGACAGTGCTACATACTGTATATACCGGAACAACAATTGCTATGTATCGAATAATCTATAACGATGGAATGATTATTATCGTCGCGTTTACCATCGCCGCGATAGAATCTAAGCGATTATCCATAAAAGAAAAAGAAGAAAAAAAAACGCAACGTCCTTCCTAATTATTGTTTCTACGCCTTTTCGAGTTTGAAAACGAGAAATCATATTCATATACAAACACAGCGAAGTACGATAAATTTAAGTCATCGGCATGCTGGTCGAGACGTGATGAAAACAACAACAACAAAAAATAATGAAAAAAAAAACACCGTTTCCGTGTCGAAGGGAATCGTATAAAGATAAGTATTGAATGTTCCTTAGATATTTTATTGTTTGTTTTAACGATCGGTGGAACGCGAGGGATCGACGTCGCTGTTCGCATCGGTTTCAAAAAACTTTCGACGATCGACTGGTTGATTCGGGTCAGTAAAGCAATATTGTACGCTATTACAACGGCTCGTGTAATAATAAACCGTTTCTGAATAGAATTCTATCCTTGTTTTGCGTACGGTTTTGTATTGTTGCCGATTAACGCGACGGTTGAGAATCACCGACCTAGAGAAAGGTAATAAGAGGAAAGAAACCTATAGTTAACGACATTCCTGCCAAAACTAATTATAATAGTGTGTATTATATCAAAATTTATGGAAGAGTTGACGCTGAACGCATTTTAATCGGTTTCTTCACGATTGCTTTACGAAGACGAAAGTGTGATCATTTTGGGATCATTGATAATACTCTCTCATGAATTTTAATTTTCATATTTTTTTAATATGTCCTTATTAATGTATTATCAATGAATTTGTGAGGTTCTCAGCTTAAAAATGAATCGAAACACGGCTATATGATTCGATTACTTTTAGTTCATATTAACAAAAGCAATTTGTAATTAATCACAATATAAAGTATCGAGACCCGGATTGTCCTGATTTTCATCAAGAAAGCCTCACGAATCCACTGATAATATTGTTAGGATTCATGGTGAGAAATAAAAGTTTAAAATCGTTTCCTCTCTCGATATAACAACACCAGACGACTCGACCAGTGACGTTATATCGAGGGATCACTGTGTCATTCGAACGTAGCCTAATTTCTTTGCCGATGGACGTTTAACTCGGTCCACGAGACCATAGATAATGTTTTACATAGCTTGCTCCAAATGAAAAGTTTCGCGTAACCGCGCTAGAATTAATCATTTTTCCCGGAAAAAGGGCGTTATGCGTGTATCGCTTAAGGTGATGGAGTACGGAAGATTCAGAGTACTCGAAGAAACCGAATGAATTTATAAAGTAACAAGCTGTATGGCTCTGAATATTGAACGTTTGTTATTCGGATAAAATGGATACGATTTTCAATTTGTTCATACAAATTTGATATTTCGAGCTGTATATATATATATTTAAAAGTAGTCGTCATCTATACATAACGTTTCCATAAACCCTTGCTAATCCGTGCAACATTTCCTTTGATCAATTTCTTCCATTTCCCTTTGGAAAAGCTACAATCCTTGGGGGGGGGGGGGGGGCCCAGTTCCTAGAATCACCTACACATGCACTTATCGAGATGCAAGGATAGTGCACCGAATGATCCAGACTGAATTTCTCCAAATTTTATTTACTCAAAAACATGTCCTGTGGTACACCCATTTTAGTCATTGCTCCACGTTTGATACACCTTTCCTCCTCTTTATTCTTAGTTACGATTATATATTATCATCCTACGATTACCGTTAGTACCTTTTGTACTATAAATTAATGTATCACGAGTTGCAAGATACGTGCAATTTTTCGACGATAAATAATAATCGATCATGTTCAAATAACTACGGCATGGTTTACTATATCACAGTCCTTTCTTGTCTGTTTAATGTGAACAACGGTTTGTCTGTAATATTTGGTAAGTGGTACATTATTTATGGCGATTGAAATTCTCCGCGGTCCCGCGGATTGGATGTAAATTGCCCCGCGTTAGGTACGGGTGAAACAGGTCCGATGCTAGAAATGCTATCGCAGTACTAATTTTGCGAAGGTATGTTTATATACGACAATTATTAATCCCCTAACATTTTGTTTTCCTTATAATTATCTTATAAATGAAATTAATTTGAGTATATGAAATAACGATACGGTTAGTGAATTTGTGATTACGTCGAAATTGTTTTTTTTAAATATTTAATTTAATATCTGGTCTTAGTCCTAATGGCGCCATCGGTGGTGAAATGTTCAAGTTTGTAGAGAAACTAAAAGTTCTTCCTAATGTAGTATCCGCGCCTCCCATACCCAACAATAAGGAGTCAAATAAGAACAAGAAACATAGGCTACGGGATTGGTCGCGTAGGTAAAGCGGTCGACTGTGGATCCGAGGATCGTGGGTTCGAATCCCCGTGCCTTATTTTGCGTTTAGACTCCTACACTAGTTCTACTACTACTAGATGGCATCACCATTCTTTGTGGTGCCATCTACCAACGTATCAGTGATACCGCTGCGCCTAAGAAATGACAACCCAACCGATAAATAGACTTCTCATGGTTGTCGTTTACCGGGGGCACCTCTCTGCGCCTCTGACCGGGCAACCGAACCAACTAACAAGCTAGTATAGGTTGCAGCATACCAGGTACACATCTGCGCCTACGACGCCGCAATTGGGCCTACAAACTGGCTAGCATCGGTTGCCATCTAACAGGGGCATACGCTGCACCTACATGGTGACAAATAAATCTTCGTTCAGGCCGCGTTACACCCAGGTAATGGACACTAACTTTTCATTCACATGTGGATGAACTTCTTGACATCTCCTAACAACTTCCAACATCTCCTAACACCTTCTAACATCTCCTAACAATTCCTGATACTTCCTGACACTTCCTGACACCGCCTAATATCTTCTCAGATCGCCTATTAACTCCCCTGACATTTCCTTAACTTCCTAACACCACATAACAACATCCAGCATATCCTAATAACTCCTGACATCTTCTCACACATCCTAACACCTACTAAACACCTTCCAAGCCCTCCTGCCACCTCCTAACACCACCTGACGTTTCCCTTCAATTTCTAATCACTTCCTGGTCACCTCCTCGCTCATCAAGTTATACTCATACTCAAGATAAAGGTAAGTCTCAAGCTACAATCAACAATGTTGCAAATTACTCTGCTCAGGGCTACAAAAATGTTGCGAGTTCAACAATGTTCCAAATTGCTTCTCGCGGAACTTCAACAATGTTGCAAGTTCAACGATGTTGTAAATCGCTTCTTTCGGGACTAAAACAATGTTGCAAATCGCGTCTCTC